GAGAGAGAGAGAGAGAGAGAGAGCACATGCGGTTACTTTTGCAAACGCGTCACTCGTAAGAACATGGCGATGACGGGATCGAAGACGCGATCCCTTTGTCCTAACCGACGAACTAACCGCTCAAAAGGTTTATCGGAGCATGACCGAGAAACTCTATTGAAATGCAATTTAACGAGATGGAACAGTAGGGAGGACTATCTAGAAGGGCGATTATAGCGAAAACGACAAATGCGCGGTCGTGGAACAAGGTATCTCTTCCGACCGGATCAATCGTTTCGAACATAATATCAAAGATGGAATTTAATTGTGAACGAACATAGATATATATATATATATATATATATGAAGATGAATTCGTTACTCGAGTCTGCGACTAATTTGTTATTCAAGCAAAAGAGGATTCTCGGATACGGTAGCTTTTTGCTTCCGCCATAGTTAATCGTAGTTATCGATAACGACCTCATTTCGCCTCTTAACTTTCGACTTAATCATCCTGGTGCATTTTCTTGAATATAATGTTAGATCCTAAGGATCCGCGTAATACGTATCATCTATATACCATGGCAAAGAGTTATCGTTTACGAACACAGAGAAGTGTATAATAACAATTATAACGTTGCGCATCTTAAAAAAGGAGAAGAATTATCTATTACCCGCCATTCGATATGCGTCATTTAAAATCGTGATGCAGACAACTGATATTTTCGATTTGCTGTTCCGAGTTCCAACAAGGGTAATCCCCGATTAGCGAAATGACGGACTACCGCGACCGTGTGCTTCGATCAGGAATATCGATCAATTATTGCAACAGTACTCCGCTCTACATTCGAGTCTCGTCACGCGAACAGTCCCTTCGATCCTTCCTGTCGTATACGTAATCACATTAAAACAACAACATACGAATGCCAAACTATATTTCGCGAGTTCGGGAAAATCGCGTTTATGGTCGATACCTTTAGGACACGTATGTTTCGGACGATCGTAAAAAGGCATCTGATGCAAGCGATTTTTCAAACGGCCCCTCTTTCTTTATATCCTTTCTTTTTATCCTCTCTTCCCTATCAATGCAGTGTTTTATGACATTCGTGATCCGTCGTTATAATCACCTACCGACGGAAAAACTATATCCATATTCTCTCGAGAGTGCAGCGGACGCGTGGAAACACGGTGCTGCGATGTTGCAAAAACCGTGCGAAATGGTTTTCAATCCTTGCACTCTCTCTCGAGTAGTGCGTTTTCCCCATGCATTAATTTGGGCGCGCCATACGACGCAGGGCGCTGTCTTGGGATTAATGTTTGATCGCACGGAACGAATGCACTCCCGAGATATTAATGTGTTGCTCACCGCAAATGTGAATATGCAATTCCTATGTAAATTGCCTTCGAAAAGGCTATTAAAATTTAATAAAGAGATATATCGAATGCGGGGGTCGCAGATGTCCCAAGCTCAAAACACTCATTGGGAATTTGTTAATCGTGTGGCAATAAGCAGCGCGTTAGGGATGTTAAAAAATGATACCTCCTCGTTCGTGCTACTCTTAAAAGCGAGAGAGAATTACTTCAATTAATAACACGATCCGACGATAGAAATAATCGAACGAGGACCAATTAAGCATGCGATCTGGACCGCGCGTTTATTTCACTTTTATTCCCAGCTCGTCAGCCTCCGCTCGTTTCCACGACTCGTCTCTATTGTGCCGAATGAACCGCAGAACCGATTAGCCCATGGATACGTAAATTGCGTCCACGATAAAAGCGGCTTGTGAATAGCTGGACAGGGCACCTTTCAGTAGCAAAGAGTAGGCGCATCGGTTGACTGTGTAGATATCTATACAATTAGCTCTCAGGATCTCGCAGATCTGCAATAAAGATTCAGGATAATGGAAAGAATCTATACATATAAATCATTCTGTACGCGTTGGTAAAAACGAATTATAAAAAAACTTTTTAGCTTTTATTTGAGAATAATTTTTATGATATGATTCAAATTTTTTTGCAACTCTTTGTTCGCCAGATTCTCAAACTCTCGGACCATTTTCTCGTATGTGCTCGACACGCTTCAACTTTCCAAACTAAAAAAATATTACTTATTTAATGGGTTTTTTTAGATTCTTACATTTCTGAAACTCATATTGTAAAAAAATTTGTTTGATGTCGATGTCGGATATTTTTCTTGGAAAACTTTAAAGTTAATGCGTCCAGGAAATAAAAACAGGTTGATTTAAAATTTTTATATTTATTTATATTATAAATTTATGTCATAAATATATTTCTCATGCACGCAATATATATATATAGAGCTATTACTATATTTTACATGGTGAAACACAGTATGGAAACATTCTGATTACTTCGAGAATATCGTAACAATGAAGGATATTTGCGAATTGTATGTATCTAGGTTTGGTGTCTCAGGTGTCTTTACTAGTAACTCTGCAAACAGTTATGGAATGCATTTAACGTGTCTTGCTCAATTTCCTGTTTCAGATACGATCTGGAGAGAGACCATCTCTATGGTATCACATGGTACAAGGACAACGAGGTATTCTACAAATATGTACTTCGAGAGAAAATTCCTCACATCTATGACGTCAATGGTGTTAAAGTTGACGTGAGTAAGATGTCCTCTCATGTCCTATTATCACTTAACACTATTATTTTTTGCTCTTCGTTAAATCTTTATGAACACACAATATTTTATAAAGAGCACTTTATTTACGAAAGAATTTTACATTTGTTATAATACGAAAAAAAAACATCGTACATAGAAAAAGAACAGAATCAGAACAAATCGGCAGATGACAATTGCGAATGAAAGCAAACGAGTATGCTATAGATAAAGAATGTATGTAATCTCCGGAATACGAAATATTTTAACAGCGATGGATTAGTTTAAACCTAGATTTACGTTCATGTCTGTTTCGATAAATCATTCAATAAAACTCGGACTCGATGACAGACACAGGCAAATAAATCGAATTGAAGACCGCCACATCGCGGCGATGCGTCATGGACGATGAATTTGAGACAAATCTCGAAATCTATCGCGAGTACCCGATAAATTTTTCGAAGGCGACCTCCTGCAGATATGTCTTAAACGTCGATATATCCGGGTAACAGGTTGGAGAGCCTCCGGGTCAAACAAAGTGGAGCTTTCGATCTGATCTACGATACCAATTTCATGGAAAAATCTTCGATTCGCTCGAGCATACGTAGCGAGAGAGAGAAAGAGAGAGGGGAGGGGAGGAGGGAACGAAAGATTTGCTCTAACGTCACAGGTTATAGAAATCGAAGCGGCGGAAAAACTATCGATTCTCCCGCAAACCGCGAAGCGAACGATGAGCAAACTTCGTTTCGAAAATATTTGTCTCGTCGCTCAATAAACGGAAACGGTTTCTGCGAGAAGGAGTTTAACGTGTAAGCTTTACGAGCTGCTTTGTCGCCAGCAATAAAAACATTTGTTCGACAAAGAAAAATATCATTCGCTATATAATCCCCAAAGAATCGCAGATTAATTCAATGTCTTCACAGTTAAGACTCTGATGGCGTGTAGCATGAAATCATTGTACACTTCTATAAAAATTTATTTCTCTTAATTCTGAAATTATCAGGAATAAAACAAATGTTATGCCTTTTATATATATATAAGGGACGAGGGAATAGGGAAAAAATTTATAAAGTTTTCTTGTAGAAATAAAATTGTAATATACTTAATAAAGATACCATCTCTTATAATATAATAATATTACTTTATATAAATGGAAAATTAATGTCTCTCTCAAGATAATTAATATGAAAATTAAATTATTAATTCTCTCTCTCTCTCTCTTTCTCATTCTCTCTTTCTCCATTATAACCGAATTCATGCTTGAGATAATTTGGACAAAGACCATCAAGAATCCCATCATATGTTTATCAATCCTTTGTCCCGCTTTATATAGACTTGGCAAAAAATAGACTTGGATACACTATCAGAATCCGGTGTGGTTCATATATACGTGCGCGAGGGAATGTGCATCGTATATCATAGACCGCCATTGTGCTCAACAACGTACGCGGGAGCGCTCAAGTTTTACGGCTTTCCGCAAAGATTTAGCGGCGCCAATCTACTCTTTATATTACGGGGTAGATGAGGCTGAATTCAGAGATCTCTGCGAAAAGAGATTGCACGAGGGCGATGCATCTCGCGCTGTCGTGACGCGATGCGGATATAGGTCGCGATACGTTCATTGAAAAAGAGCCGACGAGGGTTTTAATGGACAAGCGATATCGGTGATCTGGTGATGTGATTACGTGTCCACGAAACGGAAAAATCAAGTTGCTGCAAAATTCATACCTATTGATTTTTTTGAGGCTAACCATATTTGGCGGAGGCTATATCCGCTTCGTTCAGTCTCAATTTGCGCAATCTTTACTGATAATGTAAAACAGCTGTGTGTTTAAAAAATTATCACATAATGATTGCATGACAGCAAAATTGCGTCGTGACACACTTATACAATAATTATATGAAATATAAATTATAAATAATGTACAAAAAAGAATTTCTCATAATTCATGAACCTGAAAGATAACAAAGAAATTTTCGCAAGTAAAATGTTTGTGCATTAATCGAATTTTTTTGATACTCAATTTTATTCAATGTACAAAAAGCAACCAATGTATAAAATTTTTGGAAAACATAAATTTCCATTTGTGAATTTTTTTTAAGCATGAAAGATTCTGTTTTTGTATGATATTTTGTATTTCTCTTGATCTTATGATATTGCAATTTTTCTTTCCATCAAGTTAGTCAACACTTTATATAAAGCAAGAGATAAAAAATAAGATGGATAACTACATAAACTTCTTCTCTCCTTCTCCGTTTTCTTGTCTTATATTTTAATATCTATAGACGAGATCCTTTTGTGTCGCGTGGAACGGGACAAGCTGTAAAACGCAATTACCTTTACGACTACATACTCGCTTTGACGTAGTACGCTTTGTGGTTGAATACGTCGAGTATATCTTTTTTAATATTCTAAATATTATAAAATTTTTCAAATAATTAAAATCAGGATTTTTTGCCTTTCTTTTGATTTCCCAACGAATTATCATCCTGAATGATCTTTTAAAGAAATTTCTTGTCCTTAAAATAAATTACGATAAGATAGCTATTTTGCTTTCGCTTATTCCTAATCGATGATCATGTTGATGTCATTGTTATCGTTCCAATTTGATTAATATAAACTCTCATATTCCGACCTTTCGGTGAGCATCGCGCGATTATCGGGCAGCGTCTGGTAATTGAAAAATCGTTTAACGACATTTACACCGATAGAAGAAGTCCGATCCTGCACCATGTACGTTCATGTGGCGTATCGAATCGTTGAAAGTAACCGAGTTTACGGGGAATTGCTCGTTCGACCGTGAAGAAATCGTATCGTCGCTTCGCTCAAGCCCGAGAAGGGGTTAAAGTGAAACTGCACCGCTCGCTCGTACGGAGAGAGAAAGCATGGACATCGAAAGGAGAGGCGGCGCATCCCTCGGCTTGGGGGTGTATGTGTGCACGTGTACACGTGAGATTTTCGTGTAAAATATTTCAATTTATTCCAGGTCGCGAGAGGTTGCGCCCGCGACGCGTGCTCGACGGCACTGCATGTATATGTATGAACAAAGTCGCGCAATAATAAAGCGTCGTACTCAAAGCTATAATAAAAATAAAGCTTGACTACCCATGTCGTAGACGACTTAGTTATGGAGAGCGGTGTTGTATGCGATCGCGGTATTATGCGCTGTGATAAAAAGGATCATCGTAATGGGAACGCGGAAATGCGCGTCGCAAAGAAAAATGAGGAACGACGCGGGACTGTTCTGAAAATATATACGCGTGTACTACTTCCTTTTAAATTCCGCGGCAGGTAACTACTAATGACAAAAAAGAAGTATAACGAAGAGTTACAAAATGTAACAAAGTATAACGGGGACTCGTTGTTGACTGTCGCAAACCTTTGCGTATCTCACGGGCATAGAAAATGTAATCTAAGATTTAATTGCCAATTGGAAAATATTCAAGATCTCTCGCAAGACACTTTTCATCCGAGAATTCTCTTCGATTAATTCTTAATCTGCGGATAGAGATATCATCTCGCGATGAATTTTGGAATTGGCAACCCTCTAATTCGGGAAATCTATTTCTAATTAAAAATATAATTTTGACGGATTAAATGATATTTACTAAAGATTTTTATTAAAAGAAATAGGCTTGAAATTCATTGGAAAATCCAGAACGAAAAGGATTTCGAGATATTTTGTACAGAATCAAAATACGGATTCTCGCGGCATGCAAGCGCACATGTCCAGAAGCCAGCTTTATCACAAAATCTGCTGTTACGCTCGATCGTAAGCCATTGGTGTTTGTAAAGTACAGATACGATGTTCCCGCAACGCTGCGAAGGATCGTCTCGATTCTTGAGACGGTGCGTCCGCTTCCGATTCACGTTTTCGATGGCACGAAAGTTCCGTTCTCCTTGGCGCTCGTTAATATCGTCCGACGTGTAACGAGCATTACGTGAGCCGAATCGGTTCATCCCCTTTGCCCGTCTGGCCGCCGATCTTTCGAACCTTCTGTATTGGATAGCGGACTATTAATCTGGCTCGGTCCAATAGCTCTTCGATATCGGCGAAGAAAACTGTTCGTGGACAAAAGCGATCATGTCTACTCGCTGCCTGATTCCTGGCCTGTATGAAAGTGTGAGGAACCACGCAAATTTAACAAGATATGACGTCGTTAATCGCGAAGCGAACAAAGGGGGCAGTAAAGCATTCCCCATTCGTATATCTTTCATTATAAATGGCTCTTTCCAACGTTCTCTGTTTTATAAGTCCATATATTGTTATAAATCTATTTATAATTTTTTCATGTATAAATGTAACGAACAACTCGAATTAATTTCTAATTAAATCATGAAAACGTTTCATAATTGAGTAGTAATTGATTTCTCCTCAGTCAGTCACAACTCGATCTTCGGCTGAAATTAATTCCTGTAATTTAACATGCATTCTTAATCAGAGATCGAATTATTTGCTCCAAGAAATGAACGGATAAATTGCAGCGATTGATTGCGGCATGAAAATTTAAATGTAAATCCCCCCCGTATTAACGTAAAAAATATCTTCGATAAATCCTAATATTACTTATAAAAAAGCGTATATTGAGTGAATATCGTGAAAATGCACGACTGCGATTTATAGATGAAAATATTCGTTCTTTCTTTAAAATTTATGAGGAAAGATTTAAAAAGAAAGAAATGATGCACGTTACAATAAATTATTTATCGGATATCAATTGTAACTGTTTTCTCATGATTAAGTTAAATAACATGACATCACATGAAAACGATAACATCGTATAATGATTAATTTCTGCTAAATCGCTAAAATCTTATGTCATAAAAAACTGAGAATATTTTTTTTTCTAATATTACCTAAATAGATCCCATTTTCTCTCTCATTATTAACCATCGTCAGTTTGAAAAAAGAGATTCAACTGAGAACTTGAGCTAACATATTTTTTCTCATTCTGCAATCATCATTTCATGCATATCCTATCCTAATATTCCCGTAACGAATAATGCGGATAATAAAGTAGCATTATAAGTAGCACGAATCTTGAAGCTTGAGGCAGTTCTGGGAGAATTTTTCTAGATTTCGAGAGGCGCGAAAGGGCAACTAATGTAAAAATTGTTTTCATCTCACCCGTTCGCGTAATCGCGTTTACCTTCATCGGGCACGGATGCATCCGGCTTGAATGGCGCTCGCTAATTCGCCGTAAAATCGAGAGAGATTCCGAGATGCTTGGAAAAATGATGAAAAAGACGAACTGTAGGAACTGTAGAAACTGTGCTGCGAAGAGAAGACACATGGATATAAAGTAAGCGAGAGAGAGAGAGAGAGAGAGAGAGAGAGAGAGAGAGAGAGAGAGAGAGAGAGAGAGAGAGAGAGAAGAAGAAGTAA